AGGTTTATATCTGGGACTCTCCACCATTTGACCTTAGAACTGAAGAAGCCTCTCGGATGAGAGGTGAAACGTCTTCAAGTAACTTAAAGAAGTCCAGACGCTTTTCTTTGCAAGCTCCTTTGACAACATGAAGTTGAGTTTCAACCTGTAGATTGACTCTCTTCTCTAGTGCCAGCCATAGACCGTCACGCAGTAAGGTGATCCCCTACCTAAGAGCACACCCACTTCTTATAAAACAGATCCACCACCCCAGTTTGTTAAGGGAGAGAAACTTTTCCACATACAGTTGCAAAGTTGGGTCAACCAAAACAGCCTTTGAGGTCAAATAGTACCTCTCAGCTACCTCTGAAGTCCCGCATGCTACACGTGCTCAAAAGGACTCCCTTTTCCTCCACTGTCATCCATCTGATTTGGGGGTTACAGAAAACTTGCAATTGCCTTGTTCTTTATTTGATTCTCATTATACTCACTGCTCCATCTCAAACTAAATACATATTTTTTCTGATGTGTTATTTTTCGTTTTTTTTCTTCTTCTTCTTGGTAGCTTTGAGTTTCCCTTTCTGTCTTGTTCTCAGATAGGAGTGCAGGATGTGTTTGAAGAGGCCGTCCTCGCTGCTCTGGGGAAGTCAAGGTCCAAGTCAAGTTCCAAACCCAAGAAGTGCTGCACACATCTATAGATGTCACAAGAAGTAGAACAAGAGGAAGAAAATGTCCTTATCCTCCTCCTCTTGGAGAAGTTGGAGGTTTGACCTGGAAGAGATTATTAACCTCGATGTGATCAAAGGAAGGATGCTAAACACGTTAGACCAAAAACTATATAAATATCTCTTTATTTAGCAAGCAGAGCTGAAAATGCTCTAAAAATACAAATACAAAAGTATATTGTATAAATAAAATAATTCATGCAGATTTATTATTAATGAGTGCAGGCAAGTCTTTATATACAGTAGTTTAGGTTTTACGTTGTAATTTTTATGCAGTATTAATTACTGTCATTCACTCGCTCATTTTTTTAATGGACACAAACTTCTATCAACTACTCAACTAATATCATTCTCAGCCTCTACAGCTTTTTATTGACCTGTTCAGCTTGTGTTTAAGGTACAACCATGTGAGCAGGAAACCATCTATTCCTTAGTAGGTTTTAAAATGATGACATATTATTTATTTAACAAAGCTGTCACACGAAGAAGCAGTGTGTGATTTGGGGTGATCATTTGGGCTGTAAAGTGGATCGGGGGGACGCTGATGCACTTTACTTTTGCTTCCTTTGGTGCAAATGGAAGTGACACGAGGTTCACTGGAGAGGGAGCAGGAAAATAGGAAAAGGGGAAAAAAGAGACTGGTTTTAAAGATAGTAACCAAAAACCATTGCTCTGTCACTGTCACTGCTGGTAGCATCAGATGGTGCTTCCAACACATTCAGGTTGGAGAGGTAGATCAGCTTCTCCAGAGTGGCATATCGATGCAAGCTGACCTCTAGGTGCTCTCTAAGCCCTTTGGTGTTTCTGAAACGCTTCACAACCAGAGACTGATGAGGTGGGTTTTGCTTGCTCAAGAATACAATTTGGACATTTACGAGTAAAGGTGTGTCTTTACAATGGTAACTAGTGATCCACAGTGGAAGCAGATAGGGGTTCTCTGCCATTTTTCTTTCAGCCATTTTCTCCTGTTTTGTGGATGGACACGGAGCTCAGCCACTGTACTTTGTTATCTTACAGACAGAGTCGTCTTAAAGTTGTGTTTTGGCCTTGGAGACACTGACGCTTAGAGCTTCCCTGTGTTTTATTTTGGTCCTAATTGGTTTGTTTGCATTAATTGGAAAATAAATGGTATTTTACTGACGTTAACTTTGTGGTGATTAATTTTGGGGGGTTTCACTTTGTGTTACACCCCACTCCAGATAATACTTTGCTTTAAGTGGGTTGTAACAATAAGGACGCCTGATCAGGAAGAACACTGACAGAGGCCTAAGGAATGGCCTCCGGGTGCTCATTTGCATGTTTCTGGCCGCACACGATGAGAAACAGACTCCATCTGCTGGAATAACGGTCCGACATCCTTTAGTGGGACCTGAGCTCACAGTCCCACGTCATGCATCTTAATTGGAATTCACCAGAGTCAATCAGGTTCATACAGATGGATGTGAAAGAGTCTTGAGATGCAGTGTAGGTGTTTTTCTGACTGCAGCATCATCCAGCGTGATGGTTTGGCAGTGGTCAGCGATGGTCTGGGAGGCATATCCTTGGAGGATCGTACAGATGACCTCCTCAGAACCATTGTGGGCATTGATACCATTGACTGTCTCTGACATTTTCCAGAGCTGAATCCAACTAAGAACTTCTGGGACACATTTTTTTACTCACGTGTCTGCAAAGTCTCCACCAAGCCACTCTCATTTTCTCTGGATTGCTGCCTACCTGTCCACATGCCCTGTCTTTTGATTATACCTCTTTTAATAAAGCATCTAAACTATTTGTTGGTTGTTTGCTTTGCATTCATACTGAAAAGATGACAAGAGCATTATGTCAGTAAAGATTTAAAGTTTGAATATTTCAGTTATCAAGATCAAATGTGTGCATTTCCTTGACTTCTTGAGATTTATATTCAGCATTGAAAATAATTTTACTTTCTTCATTTTTAGTCAAATTATAATTATCAGTGTAGGATATGTACATCTAAAAGGTAACTTTTAACTTGGCTTGAGTATGTTGGTGCAGCGTGTCGCTATCTGCACCATGTTGTTTATGACTGGCTGCGTCACTTGTGCATCTTGGGCCACAGTTTCATGGATAAGTACAATTTTATGCTCCTGTAAATGATGAGCTCTTTGCTTTGCTGGCTCTTGATGAGTGTGCAAAGTAATTCAGTTATTATTACCACCAATATAGTTTTTAAATTCAATTTCATCATTAACTGAGTTGT